AATTTTAATAATCTAAAATGACGTTAATGTAGATGCAATTCAAACAGAAATATTTGTGTATATTTTGAGTAAATAATTATTTTCCACGGTATTCGGTACAACGCGCTCATTAACTGATTGTGTACGTATTTCCGCGGTGAGCGTACGTAAACATAACCTTATACTTATCCGCGGTAATACGTACACGGTAATAGGTACACAACCACGGTAATACCAGCATACCGTTTTTATTCGTTTTAAAAATATTCTACTGAAGTTTTAGCTTCATAAAATTTTTTTTAATATTCCGTAAGAGATTATGTAAGATTTAAAAAAAAAAGTATTCCAAAAAATTTTAGTATACCATTTTTTACGGTGCATTTAAGTTGGAATTTTCAGTACGTGCCACGGAGATAGGTACACTTACCCCTATATGCATCGTACTATACCCATAAGTACCGTATTCTCAAGAGGGTGCCTTCTTTTGTTTTTATTTTACGAGGGGGACTTCCGAATTTTCATTCAACTCCTAATGGATATGAGGGCAGTGGAAAACTTTGACGCATCTACATACTATATCTGTCTATTATCTTAATCCCACGTAACGCGGACGGGGCACGAAAGTTTTAGTGAAGGTACTTCCCAATGCGCTTCTGTCAAATTTTCCTTTGTAATTGCTCGTTCGTGAGTTAGTCACACTGAGGTACAAAACAAAGATATGGGGTTTTTTTTTCGGACTGTCAGTCATTTCGTGTGTGTAATGAATGTAAATTTTATTGGGTTTAAACTTTGCGCGGAAGAGACCGTTGGCAGGTAAGGTCGGTTGTTCAGTTACCGGTTGCCAGTGACCTTCCCTACCGACTGATAGCATGCGTCGATAAGGTAGGAACTGTTATTTATCATTAGAAAATTGTGGATTTGAAAATGTTTCCAATATTAGTTATAATTTATTTATTTGATTTATTAGTTTTTTATAAGTTAACGTTACCTACCAAATAATACCAATCAGTGAAAATGATTCTAACAAACGTCGAGTCAATAGGGATTTTTTTTATGGGAGTACATACTCAAATCGAAATTGATTTTGTATGAGAAATACTTGAATGAATCCAGTTAAATACTAAGTCTTATTAATCAAAAGTGAATTTATTACCATCAGCTACGCAAAGTTCAACGTACTAAGTGGTGCAAAAAGTTACATGTAAATCAATGTGAAAGATGGGAAAATTTGATAAGAGTTACAATAAAAAACGATAAGATGTGCTTTAATATTTATTCAAACAAACCAACTTTCATGCGTTTCGTAAAATGCAAGTTTTCTCAAACTTGGAGTTGCTCTAAATATCCTCAAAACGAGCATAATACATACAATACTTCAAAGGGCCCTTTTATATGGCCTAACGGGCTATTGGCGCAGTGGTCCCCCTTAAGCAACAGCTCAGTCCCATGAGGGTAGTTTTAAAATTCCAGTGATTCATTCGCAAATTGGCAGAACCACGCGGAAAACCCGTAAATTCTGATTCGTACACCAGATGTACTCATTGGTTCGTGCAAACAATGACAATTGGATGGATGAAAAAAAAAAAAAAAAAACGCCTTGCAGACCCATCAATTAAAACATCCAGTCCTCGGGTCATTATGTCAAATCAGCCACAACTCCGCCATTTGTTCCCCGAGAGTCGAGTCATCGGCACTCCCGAAAATCTTCCACGATTTGCCGTCCGAAGACGAAGAAAAAAAAAAAATAAATAAATAAATAAATAAAGAATCGTACAAAAGATCACGTTTGTCGTGCGTTATCGAGCCGAGCTGTTAAAAATACACTCTCGTGTGTATATATAATATAGCCTTTGTGCATGTAAGCTAATATTGTTATATACGCGCTGCTGCTGTTGTGCGGAGGAGAAAGCGCGCAGCCGTTCGTGCCTATAAGTATACGAGTACTTATATCTCTCGTGGAAATTTCTGAGTAATTCAGTCGTTCGATTGTTGTAACATACGTATAAAATGCACACACGATTCCCTCCCTTTTTTTGAGATGGGGTCATCAGCTGCATGGACGCGTGGGTTGAGGCACTAAACAATACGACTTTTTACCCTCCATATGGCTGGGAGAAAAGTTTTTATTGTTTTTTCTTTCGAGCACTTATTCAACCGAACGTGTAATATATTCTTAAAAGCCACAGCATCTACAATCCCAAGAGGTTGTATATGTACATCGATAATCTGGCGCGATTTCATTTATCATGCATACATGTGTATACAAAAAAAAAAAGTATTCACGATCAAGTAGCAGCAGCGTGTCATTGTGACTTGAATGGAAAAAAAAAGCTATCATAGCCAGTAGTGTATGTAGCAGAGAAGCCGAACAATAAGCAACAATTCGAAGAATTAAAATATCTTTGGCTTGACTCACGTGTAATTCCATATAAATTAAATTATTTCTTTTTTCTTCGCAAGCTTCGTTTGACGAAAATAATATTCCCCATTTAGGGAAAACTTCTCCTGCATATATGGATGATAAGTGGAAAAAAGGAAAATGAAAGGCAACGGATGCTTAAAATACCCAAAGGATAGTATGAAAGAGCTAAAAAAAAGAAAAAGAAAAAAAAAAAGTAAGGAAAACGGGCATACACGCGTGATAATAATAATTATGAGTCTAGAAAAAGGAGGAAAAAAAAAAATCGCGACCTCGCCAGGTCGTCGTCGTCGCCGCACATATATAAATACACGCAAGCCGCTCGTTTTTCCATTCCCGATCTCTCTCTCTCTCTCTCTCTTTTTTTCCGACACATGCATTATCCTAGAGACGCCGTGTATCGAAAAAGTCGGCAAGGACGAACGAACGGCCTGCAGCTCTCTCTGGCCGTCCTGTTTTTATCGTTAGCAAGTGTGCGTTCATGGACATGTACATATACATACATGTGCGTCTGATCGTCTGAGCCGTTCCTCTCTCTCTCTGTCTTCTCGGTGGAAAGTCGAGCTTGGCTTACACACAGCGAGTGTGCGGAGAGCCAAAATGGCCACGAAGCCAACGCTCGTTGTAAAAGCCGTGCTCTCGGCATGAAGCAACGAACCGAGCGAAATCGAGCACAGCTGTTGTGCCCACACGGGAAACTAACTACTTCTGTACTTAAATGGTTCTGTGTGTCATATTGCATCCACACATGTACGATTGGATGATTGTTGCGAGTTTTTTTTTTTTTTTTTTTTTTTTTCTTAAGGACAAAAACAAAAAAAAAAAAAAAAAAAAAAAAAACAAAAAAAAATAATAAATTTCCCTCCGAAACACTGTTAAACAAAAAAAAAAAAATGTTGAATTATTATAAGTATTATTCAATTTTTCACATTTCTATTTAAAAAACATAGTTTAATGTAATGAGTTTTTAATGATATACAGTTTCAGATAAAAAACTAATTATGCACATGAATCATTGGAAAATTGAAAAAGTATGAAAATGAGATGTTTTCAATGCACACAAGGCCTTTCATACAAGTGTCGTGATTCAACTTTCATTGTAAAACCAGTTAACTGATCAACATAATACCGCACTTAAGCATGCAAAAAACAACCTTGTCCTTCCATATGAATTTCACACACACACCCAACCAATGCAAACATTCAGAGTCGGAGAGCTCTATTTTTTTGTAACTATAGCAATGAATAGAGCTATTATGTCATCAGCATCACCTAAGTGACTAAGTAGGTAATTTTATCTATTATACATGTACAGACTGGGTCTAGGCCAGCAAAGCTCAGTTGCAGTTTGAAATGTAACTTATAGCACTGCCACACCCAACGCGTTTGAACAATGAGTTGGGGGAAAAAAAAAAAAAAAAAAGTACAGCAAATTACTGCTTTTTGTCTTAAAAACCGAAGAAAAAAAAACATTTTTATAAAGCACGTATCGAAAGTGTTGATGTCACTAATGAATTAACAGCCTGCATTGCCTGTCCTATATTATCCATACGCAAGTACCTTGTTTCACGCAATAGCACGAAAAAGTTTGATTCTCGTAATTTTGCAATTCGTTTTGGCAAAAGTCCTATACTTACTTACTTCCAAAACAAAAGCCATTGTTTCTACAATACTCAACCTACAAACCACATTAACAACAAACACACAGCAGAATGAAAACTATCGACAAATCAAACTGTCAAGAGTACACACTCGGCAAAACTCAAACAATAATTCAAGTACTTAATAATCCTTTTAATTGCTTCCTCCATCAAGTCCAAACTCCAAACGTTTACTGATCGTTTCCTTGGGCTCGCCACACCTCTCCTCTTCACCGAGATCTGGCAAGACTAACGTGCAACTAAGCAGCTGTTACCCCTATAGTCTAAACTAAACTATATGTATACACGTGTACAGCGCACATATACGCGAGAGAGAGAAGGAGAGGAAAGAGCGACAGATGATGAAGGGTGAGGCCGGTCCGTCGCCGGTGGCGATAGATATAGATACGGGGAACGGAAAAATAAAATTGCGTGCACAAAAACAGAGGCACAACCTCACGAGTGCGCGTATTGCAACATGTTATTGTTTATAACAAATTTTTAGTAAAGTAAAGAATAACCGACGGTACAAGTTGAGCCATAGTGATTTCATCCTCGAGGTGCGGTGGTTTTTACACAAAACCGTCATAAAAGTATTTTTGTTGATTGTCGACTGAGATTAACTTTACAAACAACGATATACGTCATACGCGATGGCGCAAAAAGCGAAGATAACAACGCGGCAACGCGCGTGCTATAGGTATTTAATGGAAATACGTGATGTTACACCTAAAAGGTAATACCTACACGACACGATGCATCTGTAAGTATATACTTATACTTATAAGTACACTAATTACCAACGTGGGCGTCAACGCTGCGCAGTTTCATTTTTTCCCAACAATATATTATAAATGTATCTCAGCTCTCTTGCTAGACGAACCGATAAATTTGTTGTCCAGCGCTGTTTTTATGCGAGCGTAGGTGTGTGCGTGTACTCAATCCGTGACGTACACTTATATATATATACTTGTTTCGTTAACGATGCAAGGACGCGCGCGTGGCTTATGTAACGTTTTTTTTTTTTCATTTAGCGACAGTTGTTTCACATATATGTACATCACATTACCGATTGAACGCGTGCGTGATGGCTTATATATATTTAAAAGCAATGATTACGTAAAGAGAGCTTTATTACGTAAGGCTGGGAAGAAGTATTTTTTACATTCACGCGTAGGTATAAGTGTATGTAACTGTGTGTAAAACAATTTTATATTTTTAGAAACAGAATCTACAGATACTTGAAATTCCAGCTCAGAAGGTTTTCCAACGACAAGTAAGGAGATTAATAACAAACACATGCAAGTAAGCAATGTAACTACGTCTGAAACTCGAAACTTTGATTGCAGGAAGTAGAAGTAGGATGCACACAGTGGAATGATTGTTCCATCAATTGGATGAAAACGAATAATACCTACATGCACACAGCAATTGAATCAAGGTCCTCTTGGCAATACGTATATGGTAAAAAATTAACGTAAGCATAGTAGTTTTTATTAATAACAAAAGAAGATACAAATGTCTGGTTACAATATTGTTTCGACATGTTGCAATAGTCAGAGGGGAAAAACAGAACAAGGAAACCTGTAAGTGCGAGTTTGCTCATGCGGAACGTGTAATATCTTAAAAACAAATTAAAAACGGGTGTGGGTGTATGTACGTATACCTACGCCTCGAAGCATCGTCAGATATGAGTTTAATTGACGTCTTTAACAATTAAAAGTCCTAACTACGTGGGCGCGAGTGTTTTTTACGATCATGAGCTTATCCACCTGCCTCGCTTTATTTTTTTTTTTCTGACGACGACGACGATAAGCAAATTTTTCAAAACCACACATGTTTCACTCGAAGCGTGAAAAGAACGACGATAAATTGATTTATCGAGTCGCAATATACACGCAGCTTGACAAACATAACGTACTTATAGGTATCCTCAATACATGAAGAAAAGGTGTATAATGAAAGCTCCTCCGCTTAGACGTGCGTCCTTTTAAAGAGAATACCTAGTGTGTCTAACTCGTATTTTTTTTTCTTTTTATCTTCGCAACACCCAAAACGACGTCGTCTCTATCCTCTTCTAATATAAGTACGCCCCTCTGAAATATATACATGTACATTTGTGTGTACATCCCTGCACATGTGCACATGTGGTTCCGGCTTCCGGCTGTCGCGCATCTGCCAATCTGATGCCATAGGCGTAAGTGTACGCCACAAGTGTACCTATCTCCGTGCTCTGCCCTATTACCGTGGATTTTGAAAAACTGATGATTACTTGCTCAAAATAAGAAATGTTTCATATAAAATAATTTTTCAATTTTAATAATCTAAAATGACGTTAATGTAGATGCAATTCAAACAGAAATATTTGTGTATATTTTGAGTAAATAATTATTTTCCACGGTATTCGGTACAACGCGCTCATTAACTGATTGTGTACGTATTTCCGCGGTGAGCGTACGTAAACATAACCCTATACNACCTGCGGTTGACGATTAACAGACCGCGACGCGACTTGTGCATCCATATACATTCATAATGTCCTTCTTTCCGTTTCCCATCGAACTGTACCTATAGGTAAATTATTATTGTTGTGTACACAAAGATATCGGCAAGATATAGTATCAACGCGTTAAAGAAAAAAAAGGCCGATCGTTACACTTTCCCGATCCGTAAATATCGGATCGTCGATTGGAATCCACGGCTATACGGATTATAATTTTCCATTTCCTCCGTTCTCGTCCCCATTTTTTTTTTCGTCCCGTCGCATTCTACCGCGCCCGTCTATAGATACACAGCCGGAAAAGAATTTTTATTCCCCCCCGCCCCCCTTCCACGAGCCATTGCTCGCGGCAATTATCATATCTGTGTACCAACAGGTATGAAATCACTCGAGTCCACGCGATCTCAATTATATACCCTCCATGGCACGAAAGCCCCGCGTACTCTTTCGCCGAATGGGCAGTACAATAGAAAAGTGACGCTTCGCGAGGGAGAAATCGTTTCTCGATCTTCTCTCGCGGTGAGCAACCGATCGAGCTGTGTCGAAATGCTTCACTCGTTATGTATTATATGTATACCTGCACGAATTCATTACCCTTACATATAACAAGTACAACGATGTGATACGTGCCGATTTTAACTTGTCCAACTTGTCTAATGTTAACATGTTAATATCCCACTTTTTCTCTTCTTGACATACATAATACATACAAAAGGCCCAAGATCCCGAAAGTGAAATAGACGAGACAATTAAATCTTCGGATTGTACTCCTCCTCGTGAAACGAGTTTCTCTAATTTTTTCACAATGTATGTGACGCATAAACAAGTACACCAGAAACGCGTGACCAACGAAGATGTACGGAGGAGATTCGCCTTATGTAAAAGAGACGAAATAAGGAGGAAAAAGTTTTCGGACGACACAAAAGAAATTCAGATTCCAATCGGCACGTAAAGAAGAAGAAGAAGAAAAAAAAAAAAAAGATATGAGGACCTCTTCGGCTACGATCTGTTTACCGAAATTTCATTTATCGGAGTTGTTGCACGGAAACCGTGTCGGATTTAACGGAGAGATAACGATTTTGACTTTCCTTGAGCCACTCTAAGATTATGTGATTTTTCCATATCTGATCGGTGTATACATATATTTATACACACCATTCTAAGGATGTTTCAAATTTTAACTGTCAACGCTTTTATTTATTTATTTTTTTTTTTTGTTTTCCTTCTTCGAACAAAAAGAACGCGCTTACGTTGTTGGCTTTTGAACAATGCGAGCCAAGTATAATGCGATACAGTCAACCATCCGTTCCAACGATCGAGACTTGAATAGGGCATTATTTCTCATACAATTTCATACAAATTATCGATGGGGTCTTGCTAAAGTCTTGCAGGTTCGTATACAAAAAGACTTCGTAGCTTTACGCTCTGTTTATTTCGCTTCTGGGACATCGCTTGCGCGAAATCTAATTGCGCAGCTGTGAGAATCATTTGGCACACAATAACATTCTTTTTTATCTACCTTTCCAAACAAGACAAAAAAATAATTTAAAAAAAAAAACCCCTAAGCAAACAGAAAAGGCCGACCTTCGAGGTAATTTAAACCTTTTCACACCCACAGAGCTTATCGCCGATTAAACCGCTTCAGAGTGGCCTCCCTTTCCGCTCCCCGTCCGCAACGAGAGCACGTATACTCATTGCGATAAGAAGAAAGGAAAAAGGAGCAAAGAAGTACAAAAGATACCGATTCCCGAAGTGAACGGTTTTCCAAAGGCCCGTCGTTATTATGCATTGAACAAAAAAAAAAAAAAAAGAAAAGCCTGGCGCCAAAAAAGACATATACTTCGAAAATTTGGTAAAAGGCCTAACAAAAAGAAGAGCGGCCATCGTTCCATAATAGGTGGGGGGTCTACCGAACAGATGTACCCCTACCGCGAGAGAGGAAAAGAGACGGTATACACTGCATGGGACATATATTTATATGGGCAACGTATATATAGCCCCCTGTACCTACCCAGCAAGCGCTGTAAATCAATGCCCTTCCTGCGCGACGTAACTTACAATACCTATAGCTGCTCTCGCAGGGCGCAAACGCGACACTCCTCTCTCGCACACTCTGGCCCAAACATCTATATGTACAATATGTAAACGTTTACATGCATAAATCCATAATAATAAACAAATGAGGGGCAAAAAAAAAAAAATAAAATGAAAAATGAAAAATGAAAAATGAAAAATGCAACGAGCAATGCATGAAATTTATCAATGATAAATATTGTAAGATACGTACGATCAACATAGTTTCCAGCATTGTACGGGAGAACTTTATAATCGTGCAGCGTGTGCTGAGAATTTCATACGTGTCGTCTGTTTCGAAGGTCTCTCTCCGATCGAGAATGAATCGTCGCCAGTCTTTTTGCGTGTACGTGTGTGTTATCTTACAAGCCGGACACTCCTTTCCCTATTTAACGTTAACGAAGGGCGTGCTGAAGTTGTACGGTCCGTTTTAAAGCTCCAAAAAACAAGAATTCAACGCAAAAACAAAGAGCGCCATGTGGAAGAACCAAAAAGAAACGACTCTCGAACCGGACACCAGAATAATTTTTTTTTCTCCACGGCCGGGAATCGAACCCGCACCCACGATGGTTCGAGTCCCCGAAAAAAAAAGAAAAAAAAAAGAAAAAGAAAAGCAAAAACACGCGCACAGTCACAGACACACACCCATCACACACATATCAAACGGTTGCCCTGTCCGTCAAGCACATCTGCCCTAAACTTAGGGGTACCCGCGAAAAAGTAGCGCGAGCGAGCCTCTTTGGGCGCACAAACACGGGTGTTGTTGATGGTAAGCCGACCGAGCTCCGTCTGCCTCGGAGTCCGTATTAGGTAGGACAGGGGTGTACGGCGGCGCAGCCAAGGCGCGGAGAGATGGAGAAAATGTACAATACATTGGAGAGCTCTGCGCGCACTCACACAGCCGACGACGACGACGACGACGACCTCACCAGAGAGCGGCTGCAGAGTTGCCAAGCGCCAACAGCTCCCGCGGCGCGTTTGTATGATAGGGCCATGCGCGATGTTGCCGCAGCGATTGCCCGCTCTATATATTTCTCTCTCTCTGGTACTCGTTCGTGGGAAAACTGTGGCCCCTGTTATACTTTGGCCGCGAGAAAAGGAGAAAACTGGAGTTATTAGAGAGGCAGGCACTTGGAATCTGTAGTTGTTAACAAATTTTTCACAAATACCATGGATTTGTAGCGGCAAAGGGCTGTTTGAGCTGAAAAATTGGAGAAACAGGTCCCAACTGGTTTGGAAAACCCTGTGGAAATGGGTCCGACTTTTTGGACCATTTAAATGTCTTCTAGGTTTTTTTTCCTGGAATCAAACCACCCGGTTTTTTTGTATGCACCCTTGAGGGGGTTGATTTTACAGTTATTTTAGGGTTTGAGATTTTTTTTCATTGATACCAGTTAGTGGTCTTATTCACAGTTATCCAGGGATGTTAATTACAACGAGCACTTCCATCGTTGGTGTTTATCCATTTTTTAAAAATGGGGTTGAAGAGTTTTTTCACGATAATTAGGCTTGATTCAAAAAGAATATTCTGAATGATCAAGTACTTTGGTAGCTTCTTACAAGTTTTGAAAATGAGTCTTTGGGGAAAACCTTGAATTAAATATCATTTTAAACTCTGAATAATGGATTAAACTATTTTCCTAGACGAAATTCAAAAATGTCTTGAAAAGGATCTTATCAAATGTCTCTAGAAGTTACAAAAATAAATGATCCAGCCCGAAATAATCTGAAAGGCGTTAATGCACGTTTTTTCGTCCAATTTACCATTCCATCCCATCATCCGTTAATTGTTCAAAAGTTGAATGCCAAGTCCCAAATTAGGAAGAGGAATGGTAAAAACCATGAAACAAGGACTTTATCAACATGATGCCTGTAGTTTTTTTTTTCGTAACTTAACTCTTCAACTCTGTCTTTGATGAGCAATGTTTAACATAAAAAAATTTTAATTACACGACACTTAACTGCTGCGTTGACAGCTAAATGGAATGGTGCCAAATCAGTCATCCAAACGGCTCGTAAAAAGGTACGTTTGACAAGCTAAGGATCAAAGAAAATTCTTCAAAATTAAAATTATTCAAACAAAAAACGCGATTTTTTAGTATTAATAAACGTTACATTTGTTAATTTCTTCCTGCGATTCAGTTTTACAATATAATATAGTGTATTTTCGCATGTAGTGCAAGAAAAATTTTTTAAAAACATTTTTAGACAATTCCGATCAATGTACCTAATCGATACCAATATACTTTCCTAGTAGCGCCCAAAATCCCGATCTGCAAAATTTACTAAAGGTTAAAATGAAAATACACAGCACGAAGGTACTACTTAGTAATTTTTAACCAAACGAAAATTATTAGGTTCCACACCATGGACAATGTGAAAAATAAAAACTCTACATAAACTCGAGTTCTTTTTTCTAACGTGATACAAAAGCATGTTGATAGTTTTTGTTGATATGGTCCAAAGTTTAAATTGCATCGAGCCTTTTATTTTTCTAAGACAAACTTTAAAATGAAGTGAAAAAAATTTAATCTTCAGCCTACACGTAGCTTTTTCAACCAAATCCATTTCCCTTTTGCAACAACTTGAGGGATCCAGTAAATTTTTCACAACTGTCGAATAAAAAAAAAAAAAAAAAAAAAAAAAATTTGACTTGTTTTCCTGCAACTGTCTCTATTTTCATTGAAAGCTATAGAATCATAGAAATAGTAAAAGGGAAAAAAGTCACATAAACGTACCCCCATGAAAAAAAAAGGATCCAAGACCCCTGGACCAACAAAATGCCCAATCCATACGAACTGTACCCATCAACCCTGCGCCATCGAAAAAATTTCCACGCTATGGCTCGGCAAACATTGCACCCAAAGGAAGAAGAAGAAGAAGAAGAAACCCCGGAGCCTCCGCCATTGACTCTCTCGTTACATGCTCCTCGAGAATAAGCGAGAAAGAGAGCGAGCCATCTCGTAGTACACCATCACCACCACCAACATTTCGAGAAGAAGAAGAAGAAGAAGAAGAAGCATCTCCGTGTATCTTTCACATATATATATATATATGTGTGTGTCTCTCTCTCTCTCTCTCCTTGCCCTTCCCTGAGAGGAGTGCGCCCACGACGAGATTCCATTCCTCTCCTCCTCCTTCTCTTTTATCCGGAATGCATATACATATACTTTTACACATAACGAGCGTTATTTTCTCGCTCTCGGCTGTAAGTAGTAGGTATGTACCTATATATACATATAATACACTTGGTGCTCGCTCGGTTCAAGCTCCGTTCAACCATCAGCCTCTCTCTCTTATACATGCCCACCACCATCACTGCAGGGCACGAATTCTTTCGCTCTCCCCTTGCCCCGCACCTCCTGGGTTACGAGAGCGCGGTGGTTTCTTTCTCGCGCGAGAGATCTCGGTACCCCCCCCCTCCCATACATGTACTTTTACACAAGTTACAAGTACACCCGAGCGAAGAATGAATTTTCTGCAACGGAGCCGAGTAAAAGTCAGCAGCCCTTCTAACGCGCGTGTACCGTATATATACTTAGGTACATGTGAAAGAACGTCTCCGCTGCACGAGAGTTGTAAGGATATCGTCTTATACCTATAGTTGCGCGGGTGTACGAGTCGTCTCTCGGTGCTGCGGGACAAAGGGCGTTTGTGAGACATCTCGGGCGCGGGCGTCATTTTCGCATTCACGTGCGCCCAGACTATTGTTTCCGAGGGTGCTTTTCCTTTCCTTTTTTTTTTTTTTTTTTTTTTTTTTTTTTTTTTTTTTTTTTTTTT